CATTTTTCTTTCTTTTCTCTCGCCATATGACCTGTCCATTGCCATTTCATTTTCCTGCATATGGTTTGGACTTTCCCGAACTTGGTTTGTTCTTTTATTCTTTTTAATTGTACTTTATCACTTCTTCTTAATCCCAACACGCTTCTCTCTATCCCATTTTGACAAATATTTATTTTATTTTGCTGTTGTTCGGTTAAGACCCAGGTTTGACACGCATATGTTAGACATGGTAAGATGCAGACATTGAATACTTTCCGCTTCTCCGCCATTGGCATCTCTTTATTTTTCATGATTTCACTCAGTGACCAAAATCTCCTCCAAGTATTTGCTATTCTTCTTTCGATTTCTTTCTCTATGTTTCCTGTTGATGATACCATTTGTCCTAAATAAATGTATTCGTCAACGTATTCTAATTGTTGACCGTTTATTCTGATCTCCTCTGATAATAGAGAATTGGTCATTAATTTCGTCTTATTTAAGTTCATTGTCAGACCTGCATTTGCGCTTTCGTCTGACAGTTGTTGTAGCATTTTTTCCAGCATCTTTGGACATTCAGCGAATAGTATTAAATCGTCGGCGAATCTCAAATGACTCAATTTCTCTCCGTTAATGTTAAGTCCAAAATGATCCCAGTCCATTCTCCTAAATATCATTTCTAACACCGCAGAGAATATCTTTGGCGAAATAGGGTCACCTTGGCGTACGCCTCTTTCTATGGGAAATTCGTCGCCTTTCAATTCAGTTATTACTTGTGCTGTGCTTTTGTCGTAAATTTTCTTCAGAAGGCGAATGTACTTATCATCAACCCCTTGTCGCTTCAGCGATTCCCATATGTAATAGTGTTCCAAAGAGTCGAAGGCTTTGTTGAAGTCTACGAAAGCCAGGTAATATGTTATATTATATTCCTTATATTTCTGAAGTACCTGTCTTAGCACGTGTATATGGTCTATCGTGGAAAAGTTACTTCTAAATCCAGCTTGCTCTTTTGGCTGGTGTTCATCAAGGATGTTGGTTAGT